CTGTGTGCGAAAACACACAAATGTTGGCAGAAGAATCCCAAGTTCTTATAAATCTCAGGAAAATAGGCAGACAGAGGGGAAAAAATTAGAGCTTCAAATAAGAAAGAGGCCCCAGAGGGAGCCCCCCTGTATTCCTGGATACCAAAGTGTCCACATGGGGCTTTGGTGTCTAATGAGCTATAAGCAAATGAAGTCACAACAAAGGGCTTCATTAATTCTGTTCCTTATAAGGACTAGTAGATGTTCTTTTCAATGCATTATTAATTGATTGAACTCATTACCTAAAGATGGTGGTGAAGTACTTAAATAAATTCAATGGAAACAGCCAACAGCCTTTATGCTTGAGAAGTTAAGGGATACAAATTAAAGCCTAATCTTTTAGGACAGTAAGACATTCACAGGAAGGAAAATGAGGCAACCTTTTTCATAGACACTGTATTTTGTAGCACCTGGTCTCAATCCTCTAGAGAAACAATTCTGCAATACAGAAATTCTAAGCCACAAATTGCACTGCAAGAAGCAACTTACAGTTCTCTGAACAACCTGATCAAGCTGTAGATGCCCCCATTCTTTGCAGGGGGAGTTGGCCTGGGTGACCTTTAAAGGTTCCTTCCAACTCCAACAATCCTATGATTCTATGCTTCCAAAATTCTCATACATGATGTGCAACCAATTCCTACACAAATAAGCCCTATTTCATAGGATAGAAGTGAAAATGACAAGTATGAAGACCTGTTCAATGAACTAGTACTCACTTCCCATTCAGGATTCATAGAAGCTAATTTTTTTCCAATTACAGTAAATCTAGGTTGTCACATATCAGTGATTTATTCTTATTCTGTTCATATTCTTTCTCTAGTCCTTGCAATGATTTGCAGATTGCATTTTACTCTATCCAGAGTTTTTTTAATTCCTATTTATTTAGGATAGTGTACCATTCTGTAATACCTTGAACTTTTGACATTACATTTTCTATTTTAAGTAGTTCCTGCCCAAACTTGTGCAAACACCAAAACCCCTTCACGTCACTGAGCTCTTGGGGTTTCGGACCATGACATTATCATGCACCCTCAGATGAAAACAAAGCACATATGCCTTCTGCTCATTAAGAAGCAATGATTTCAAACACAGTTAGATGGATGGCCAAGCCCTTTCCTCATTCACACCTGTAAGATGCAAATAAAATGCTTAGGGCGAGCCCAGATGCTACCTCACTGAAAAATATACAAAATAAACATAGTATTAAAGCCCAAATTTTAATTATCCTGTTTTATCCCACCTAAAAATAAATACTGTATGTGTTGGAAGACATCTCCAAATAGGAAGCGTTAGAACAGAGAAGGATCACACTGCTTATTGCCAGTCCTTTATTTTTCTCTTCTGCTGAGACCCCAGTTATTTCTTCTCTCTGTACCTACATTCCAACACATTCAAGGAGATAAAAGGTTTTAAAATGTAAGTACTACTTGGGAAATTGTGCTATTAGCTAGCATTCTTGACTCCATTTGTCCATCCCAAAAAGTCACTTCTATATTTTGTTTGAGACAGACCAGTCACCCACAAGACTGAAATAATTTACTGTAATAGAAATTGGCCCACTCCCATTATACTCATTTTCCTGCTAAAACGAGGAATAGTTCCTCATTCTACTCTCTTCATTTTGCAAACACAAAAAAACACCCAAAACAATGCAATGAGAAAAGTTCTGGCAAGTCCAATGCCAAAACGTGAGATGGAAGAGCAATTCTCTATGGAATTGGTATTAAATGCTCAGTATTTATGTTTCTCCAAGAGGATTCATCTTTTCCCTCTCACTTGAGTCACTTGAAAAGAATAAAGCAAACAAACAAAAACGAAGCCAGCTTGCATATATTTTTAATTCAGAATAGAGAGTAAGAACTCAATGAGATCTGGAACATTAAGTAGGTATTGCCTTTGGCTACGCATTTTTATTTGTTTTGAATTAATTCATAAGGAGGTCAAACCAACAGAGCACCAGTTGAGAACCTGATCTACAGTGGATGAGTAACACTCCCTGTATAATGTGCATAAGTTGCAAATAGAGTGATAACGTTCATAGCTGCCACACAGAGTCAGGAAAGTTTCACACAACGTTTGATGAGGAAAAAAAAACACAGAAACAGTCCAATCTCTGGCAGAGCCACCATATGGAGTTTACTGCAGAAACATACGTTTTGGCCACTCAGCATAGCTCTGCTGCCAACAATGATAGACTGAAATATTTCTTTACAAGATATGATATATTCCTATAATGAAACAATAAATCCTAACCAGAGACGTTCAGCCAGTTCAGCCAAATCTTTATCAGAATAAGCAGGACAAAAGAAAAGCTTCAGCATACACTATAGTTTCCACAGCGGTAAAAAGATGAGATTAGAGTGTAAGTTTATGGCATATGCAGAAGATGTTTAGAAAAAAAATACTCAAATCTATTTAGACAGTTGTCAATTTACCTGCATCAGATCTCTTGCTAAGATACCAGCCTTTATTACAGCATGGTCAAAACCAAAAAGCAGCTGCCTGCAGCAGATCCATCAGCCTCCTCAAGCCTCCTGAATTTTCATGTGCCAAAGTTACCAAAGTATAAATGGAAAATAAGAAAGCTGAGGCAGACAAGCTCCAAACAAAAGCTTATGACTGCCACGCCATCTGGCACAGCCTCACACCCTCTGCCACACCAGAACATGAACAGTTGCAGGGGAATAGTAGATCTGCTGTAAGGATGTATCTTCACTTCACTCATAAGCACACAGCCTGCACCAACCCAAAGCCAGGTGAGACTGGATCTGGCAAGAGGACCTTGATGGACTGTCTCCACTGCTCATTTCTCCTCTGTGTCCCCTTTCCATTGTCCTGCAGCAGCATCTCTAAGCCTTTTTGAGCTACCGGGTCACAAAAGAGCTTGCACATATGCTCTTCTGCTAAAACAATAGAAACTACTTAATCCACCAGAGCTGTTTCCACTCTGAAAATCAGCTTAAGAGGCTCTTTAGGAGCTTTAGGTGTTTTGAAATCAAGAACTTTCACACATCCACCTGTGAAGACTTAATTTAGCTGAATTAGTTCAATGTCTCTCTCAAGTTCTTAAGAGGGAGATGTCAAGTGACAGAAGGTTAGACTTGCATAGGAAAATATAGCATTACAAGATAAATCATTTCCTAAGGAAGGCTGGGAACTCACTTCTAGACCTGGAGAGCTGGGCTGTCCTATTTCCAGAACTGAGTCATAGTCTCTCAGAACTAAGACCAGCCTGCTTTAGGCAGATGTCTACTGAAAAAGGTCATGGATGGGTGACACGTGGAAGTATCAACTAAGCCAAAGCCAGAAGAATTCTGCAGCTGCAGCAGAAGGCAGGAGGATACAAAAGCATTGGTGAAACCTCCCAGAACAGCTGGTTCAGGAAAAGAAGCTGCTATGAAAACAATATTCAGTGCTGTAGCATGCTCCTTCGTGGATGCGCTCGGATTCTGGTCACTCAAGTGCAAGCAATTAGGAAGCAAGCACTGTTCAGATTGCCATGAGAAACACAAGAGCTGACTTCAGCTGAATTGCTATTATTTTTCTTGAAATTGCAAATTTTAAAATTGCATTCATTTTTTTTTTTTTTCTATTCAAATATCTATTCTAATCCCAAATTAATTTTAATCTCAGTTCTGCCCGTAGCCAAGGAAAGGTAGATGTCTGTAGGTTTTCAGAGACAGAAACATTTCTTGCGTTTCGTAAGAAATGTGACGTCTGAAGCATTCAGAACACATTTTCAGAACACACATAGATTTATCATCTATCTTCTCACTTTTCACTTCTACATCCAGTTCCAGCTGCTTACTGATGTTTCAAATTGGAAATGACTGAAGTCTGGTCCTATATATTAGTGCAAACCCATTTCAGTTTTGGATCGGTCTCTACAGCTTTTTGACCTAGTTGTATTCTCTTTTGTCAACATTTTTTCTGTTGAGCTGAAGATTATCAGTGAAATTCTACATCAATTTATCACTTCGACACCTATAGATGTTCATACCAGAAGAGAATGGGAAAAAATAGGAAAATTAAATGCATTAGAAAGGCTGTCAATATGCTGAACGTTTTTTAATGTTAACATTAACATTTTTAATGTTAACAATTTTAAGACTATTGACTTTCCCCAAGCACAAGACAGGAAGGCTTAATTGATTTCTCTATCTGTCAGCCTTACCTAAAATTCTCATTTAAAAATAATGGTCAAAACTACAGATTTCACTTGCAAAGAGGGAATCAACATTTGCAGATTATTCCTGGAGTACACGCACCTGCTCAGTAAGCAATAGCACAATCTGGAGCACAGTCACCAAAGATACAGCACAACTAATCAAAAGCAGCAATCAACAAGTTTGCTATCTGCCAGGGCTCCAGTCTGGTTTATCTCATTCAGCCAGAAGGATTTTGTCACCTTTAGCTTCTTACATGTGCCTGTCCATGTGTTTGTAGCTCGCCTGTCTAAAGTGCACAGACTCTGAACCCAAAGCTACTATCACAAACAAGACATAACTCCAAAAGGTGCCTCCTGGCATTTAAGAAGAGAGAAAAGAAACATCTGTTACTGCAAGCTATATCATAGCTCTGCTATCTACATATATGAGAGGCAACCAAAACCTGAACCATCATACACAATTACCCTCTAAAAGCATCTCTCACAGTGCCATTTTTATTATGGCTTTTCAATCTTTTTCTTTGTTGAAAATAACAAAATATTATAGCTATCTTCTTGCAAAACAGGAATTAATCCCTTATTAACACTCTTCAGCAAAACAAAGACAAATAAAGGTTTTTCAATGACCGTCCCAGACATGAGTGCAAACACAGAAAGGAACAGTTGTACTTATTTACAATAACTATATTGGACATTTCAGATATTTGTATGTAGGTGCAGCTCTTACTTGAAAGAAAAACAGAAATCAAAATAAACAAACCAGCACTAATACAGGTCATTTAGCATTCCTTACCTTGGAACCTGCCAATATAGTTTTCAGCAATTTTGTTCCCTTTCCAATACCAACCACTGCAAAGACAGAAAGAGAAATTACACTTCCAAACCAGCTTTGCAATTCCCTTCTTCAACACCATTATGAGATAAGCTCTAATGTTAAAAAAAAAAATCAGACTATAGAAATAAAGAAGTCTAAAGCAGAAGACAAATAAGCTTCACCTAGTTCTCAAAATGCTTTAATTTGACTCCTAGATTTATTTATCTTTTAATCACCAGAGAAACAGATAGTGCAATTAACCCCGTCTCTCATTTGATGAAAGCTTTGGCTCGCTAATAATGAGTCTGGACTGCATTGCAAGTAAAATGGGCCTTTCAAAGGCTGATAGAGGTAAAGAGTAACACAGCCAAAGCAGCATAATGAAACAGTTCATGGAAGTCACAGCAACAAAGTAAATTAATCAAAAGGTCCAACCAGGCTGTCAGAAATCTTTCCTAGTCAGGCTCCTGTGTTATTGTAAATGCACAAACCATTGTTTCTTCCATCCTAAATCAGTATTCTGCAAAGTAATTCTCAGTCAGGTTTTCACAAGACAAGCAGATGGGAAAAGGCAGTATTTTACATTTTACTTCAGAGCTTTTTTTACAACAAGGTGCTTGCTTTGGATAAGCCTTTCTATTGATTTGCTCCACATACAGCAATACAAAGAAACAATAACAACAGAAGGAAGATGGAGAACTGGGATGAGTCAGATACATTGCCACGACACACGTTCCTGAGAACACTGCCATGCTATCTACTGTAATTCATTGCAGAAATTCTCCACTGTGTCACATCAAGAAAAGAAAAAAAAGCACTAATGAGAAATTAAGGAATTATTCCACAATTGTTCTACTATTAAATAATAAAGGGTCACCTTCACCTTTCCTGAACTATACAGGGGAAATTATTTCCACACACAAGCTAAGGAATATGTAACAGCTGTCCTTGATCTTAATAAAACTACAGGAGTTAAGTGCATTTGAAACAAATCAGCTTTGTACTAACTTGAATCAAAAAGCCAAGAGCATCTAGCTCAGTAATGACTACTTAAAACAAAAAAGAAAAACAAAACCACATTTGTGCTCTAATGTTTCCAATCTTAGCACTCTTGAGATTCATAAGACTTCCTATTCTCAATAATTCTCCTCTTATTCCTCGGGGTTTTTACAGTCACATATGCCTTCGTCTTTGTAATTCCTTGTACCTTCAGTTCAGCCTGTTCCTGTCAAATTCACCAGGCAGAGCTACAACAAGGCTGAGAAATGAAGATAAGCACACATAAAACTTTATAACCAAGCACTTTTCTTGCAACACGCTGACATCACTCATAACTTGGATTAAAAAAATAGCTACTTCAGTTTCAGAAGTATTACCATTGCTCGTTGACCACTGCCTTCTTATAGATGGTTCAGAATTCCCTAGGACACAGGGCCCCACCAGCACAGGGCTGTCTACCACCTGGCCCATAAGTTGCCCATCGTTCATGCTGTACATATCACTGATCTCTGCCTCCAAAATTCTTCCTCATCTACACCCACCATAAACACAAAAAGAAATACCAAAGCACATCTTCTGATGAAAACCACTGCCCAGTTATTTGCAGTACACCCCACACACCAAGCAAGACCCAGTATCAGCAATTCATACGAGCGAAGTTGCAGACATGCAACTTGTATAACCTTTTATTCTTTCCCATTGTTTCACATTTCGGAAGATAAATACTTCATTATGCTAAGATACATGAAGAAAGAAAGCTTCCTGACCCCTCCTATCACACACAAAAAAGCAGAACACATCTTAGGAATGACTTGATTCTATCATGTTCTTCCTTTTCTCCTAATCATTTTAACCAAATCCCCAAGATATCTCAACACATGGCCTTTCCTGCTCCTCTCTAGTCTTGTCTTTTCCAATCTAACTACCATTGATTTTTCTCTGTGTGCTTTGTATGGCAGTGGAATGAAACATTCTATACCTTTTTGGATCGATCCATAGCATATTAAGGTGATACACTTCTGTCTTTACCAAGCACATCAAGCCCAAGTACTTTTTGTCACACCACACGAGCTGGCTTTGGAGACTGATGGATATCAGAGAATACTAGGAGAAGCAATTAAGGATGACAAGAGATTTTTCTTTCCCTCTGGATCAATGCTGTTGACTTCCCACAGTGAGCAGTAGGTATGCTCATTGGGGACATCCCTGAAAGGCAGAAGCATCCACTTCAGCCAGATACACAGTATTCTCTGGTGAGTGGTCACACAACACAGGAAGACAGAGTTAGTGCTTCTCTTCCAGCCCAAGAAGGGTATGTTTCAAAACATTTACAGGTGACACAGAACAATTATCAGCATATATAGACCTCCACTAGCAACAGACTCCACAAACATTCCTGGAAGTATTGCTCCTATCACAGTAAAACTCAATGGATATCTCATTTCATTAGAATTCAGTGGATATACTTGTGTATAGTAAATGCTCCCCCTGTTGATTTTCAATACCAAAGAAGTATCACTTCTTCAGACCAAGTTGAGCTATAAAACCGTGGTAAAAGCAAGCTGCAGATTTTAGCATTACTCATCAATGAAACCATTACTGACAGTGTATGATACGGGACTAATCCAGTCTAATTTTCACAATTACAGCTGAGTTCTCAGTAGCAGCAACTGATACATCATAATCATCAATGGAAGCAACTGATACATCATAATCATCAATGGAATGAAGAAATTCAGTAAATAGATGATAGGACAAGGAGGAATGTTTTTCTGGTGAGACAGGGGAGGATTAGGTGTTAGATATTAGAAGGAAGTTTTTCACAGAGAGGGTGGTGAAGCACTGCCCAAGGTTGCCCAAGGAGGTTGTGGATGCCCCATCCCTGGAGGCATTCAAGGCCAGGCTGGATGTGGCTCTGGGCAGCCTGGTCTGGTGGTTGGCGACCCTGAACACAGCAGGGGCTTGAAACCAGATGATCACTGTGGTCCTTTTCAACCAAGGCCATTCTGTGATTCTATGATCAGAAAGCAAAGCCTCACACAGAATCACAGGGGTCAGAAGGGATCTCTGAAAATCACCTCATTGATGACTGTTCTTTAATGAGCAAGAGAAGACAGCAAGTGAAAAATTCTTGAGGCTTAGCACAGAAGTAAACAGCACCTGAATTGCTGTTACTTATTTTTTATTTGACAAGTATTATAACCCCCAAAGGTTCCCTCAAAATCCCAGAAACACATTAAGGCACAAATAACTTTAGAAAATTACAACGGCTATAAATCCCCAGCTTAACTAAAAACAAAACAAACAAAAAATAACACACAAATTTCAAAGGCAATTTAGAAAACGTGGCGGGATACATGGTGGGATGTAGTGTGAGGAACGTGAGCAATGACCAACAAAGTTGGTTATCTCAGGAAGTTTAAAAAAAAAGCAACAACAACAAAACTTGTTCAGGAACTTATTAAACATGCGTACAAGTACACAAAAAGGAAATGTAACCCAGGACACTCTTCTCCAGTAACCCAAAGCCGCAGTGTGTGCTGCACGTATCCAGACCATCCCTCCACCTCCACACGGAGGCACAGAAGCGTCTCCCGCGTCCTGTGACTGCATTTGTACTGCTCATTACCCAGAACTCCTGTTGCTGCACTGTCCAAAGTCCCACCATGTCCAATTTTCAAGGCTTGCTTTTTTCTTTTGTTATCTTTTGTTTGCACACCGGCTTCTGCAAACAGAAATGGAAAGAAGGCGTTACAAGACAACCTCGGAACTCAGGAAGGGGCGCGCAGATCCCCCAGCCCAACCGCCCGCCTACCTGCCAGCAGCCTTTCCTTCAGCAGGTTGAGCACGGCAGCCGAGGTGGCCCCTTTGGGCTTGTAGACGGCGAACAGCCCGCTGAGGGAGAAGAGCTTCTCAGCCGCCCTGCCCCCCAGCTCCCCGGTGGCCATGCTCAGCAACCCAGCGCGCCTTCCGCCCCGCCGCCCGGGGGCCTCTGGGAAACGCAGTCCGCCGTGCGGAAGGGCGGGGCGGCGCGGGCCGGGCGGGGAGCTGCGAGCGAGCGGCTGCTGGAAGCTGACACGTAGTGAATGGCCGGAGCGCCTGGAGTCCTTGCAGAGCAGCCTGCACACCGGGGCTGGGCCGCACAGCCGGCTGATTCCAATCAGAGCCCGACTAAAGGGCCCTTTATCAAAATATGCTCCATCTGGCCCCCACGAAATGGTGCTGGTGTCAGGGCTTCCTACCTGTGCTTACAGCATGAGAGAACGTGCAGGATCAGGGCCCAACTTTTAACTGCAAATCTCAAGCACAGAAGGTATATTTTGTGGCTGTGTGCAACTCACGCTGTCCTATGGCGTGAGCACAAAAACACACGGCCTTCTGATAAACAGGTTTGGAGAGCTGCTGCCTCTCCCCCTCAGCCGTCACAGTGTTAAGCATTGTACCTTTCTTGCTCAACTTAACAGAATTATATTCTGCTGACTACTTGCTCAGTCCATTAATCTTCCTGCCTTCACATGTGCTCTACAAGGAGGTATCGCTAAGGCAGGCTCTTGCTTCTCACAGCAGTGCTGCATGAGGGCTTTCTTCTTCAGGCACGACTCGTGCAGATTCATTTCTCTGACAACGCTTCCCAGAGCATTAAAGCAAGTTATACGTGAGGTATGTGAGAGCCAAGAGCCTGGTGCCAAGGTTCTGAGAGCCTGGATGCTTCAGTCATTCATTTCAGTTATTCACTGGTAGGAGCCTGCAGGTGAAACCATGAAAAGATCCAGTTACGGGGAAATAAATACAAGTTTAGCTAAGAGCTAAATGTGTTCCCAGTGCTTCCCAGAGCCTGAGAAGCAAACGTTCCTGCTGAAGTCAATGGTTGTCTCTGCACAGAGCAGGACCAAGGCCCACGTGTGCATAAACACTTTTTCAGCCTGCTCTGGAGGCTCTCCCAGTGCCTGCTCACACTGTCCTCAGCAGCCCCAGGGACACCCCGTGCTCCAGCTGTCAGCACTAGCAGTGCCCAGCAGCCTCCCTGACACACTTCTGGCATGTATTACTAATGGCTCTTCTTACCAAGGAAGTTTGTCTCCAGGACAAACAGGCAGACAGGGTTAGAGGTGCCCACCAAAACCATTCCTTATTATTAAGAGTCGGGTATTTACATAAGAGCTCTGGAACTATCATGCAAGATTTTAATTATGCGCCTTATTTGCTTAGATCGCATTTACATATCTGTAATCTAGCTGTGGCAATATTTGCTGCTACCTTAAGCTGTGAGGGTGAATTCTCAGATGAGTGACACACATGGCCGTCACTGCAGGACATGGAAGCAAGGTGTCAGCGTCCTTCTCCATAAGAAAAAATGTAAACAAACAAACAAGCAAACAACAAAAAATACTTTCCACAAGGTCAGCAGAATTGCTACTGGTTGACATGGAGTTAAAATTGACGCTGCAGTGTGGAATGCATGTGGTGAGCTGTGATGGAATTTCTCTTGCGGATACAGCATAGTCAGGCTAACCTCCTGAAAACCACTTGAAAAATAGTCTCACAAATGCCCTGCTAAAAAGTGCTTCAGCACAGATTGCTCAGTGAGAGCTCGAGTAAAACTATTTAAACATTACTGTTAGAAAATGGTGCAGCAAGCTTCCAGGCAAGGAGACTGCAGCCCACAGACTGAAATGCAGACCTGTCACACAGTCATGCCCAGTGCTATCTGTAGGCCGTCAGACTGCTCTGAAAGCATTGCTGAGGAGCACGGGGACATTACACAACAGTGAGAGCTCCTCAGTGGCATAAAGATGTCCCTAATGCTAACGAAACCTCAGCTTTCCAATTACGAGGCAGCTGACAGGGCCTGTGATAAACCTCAGTGCTTTACCTGCTAAGGACTGAGCTAAGCTGAGAATTGTCCAAAATGGTTTGTCTGCTGTAATTACCCTGACACAGACACAGGGCGTGAGCTGAAGGTCAGTGTCTGACCTCGGTACTGTTCTCACAAATTACCAAAAGCCTTTTCCTTCTTCTATTTTTCTTTTGAGAACAGGTGTTTAAATGGGTTTCAGCTATTTCTTCCTCTCAGTTTTAGGACTGAGCAGCAAGTTCTTGTAGGTTTCCCAATCTTCTGCGGCAGCAATTAAAACCCAACACTTTGTTACCACAGCAGATGGGGTCTTTGAAGGCTTAGAAAGAAGAGATTTGCTTTGACTTTACCGGGCATTGGAAAAGGGCCCAAAAGAAGAAATGTGAGAGACTATTAATGACTGTCAGTATTTCAGTTAGCTAGAAGGATGTGAGTGCATAAATCACATGTGGCTTGCTTCATGGGGCAAGGTTACTCAGCATTCAAAATGGTGGGAACGATGTACCGAACCGTTCATCTCCAGGGCATCATTTCAGATTTGCCTCATGTTGCTAGTGATTAAAAGTCATTACCATCTGCTCAGTAGCCTATTTGAAATGAGATGTTTATCTCCAACGATTTCTAGCCAAGCCAGGATCCAAAACAACCAAAAGCATGATTAGAGTTACTGATTTTATTAGCAACCTTAATAAAAAGGCTCAGTAAAAGGCTGAAAGGATATTGTTGCTTTATGCATGAATGTTGGTAGGGCTAATAGAGATGGGCCAAAAGTTTCCTGCAGGTCACTGGAATTGCATGGATCAGTACCTCGAGAGTCTGGTGCAATTATGCTTTATAGAGAAGAGATGATAGTAGCTGTACTGTGTGCAAACTGCAGATAAGTGCTGTTTGAGTGAGGTGAATCTTTTACTTCTTTGTGCAGAAGAGAGATGCAGCGCTTCCTTCTCCATAAAGATGCTTCCCTGTCTGCTTTCAGACTGACTTCTTCTGAAGTGAACATAGAATCATAGAATGGCTTGGGCTGGAAGGGACCCCAAGATCATTCAATTCCAACCCCCCTGCCACAGGCAGGGCCGCTGATCTCCAGATCTGGCACAGGACCAGGCTGCCTAGGGCTCCATCCAGCCTGGGTTTGAACACCTCCGGAGCACCCACAGCCTCTCTGGGCAGCCTGTGCCAGCACCTCACTGCTCTCTCTGTGATGAGCTAACCCCTGACACCCAAAGAACTTCCCTCTGACATCTAAAAGTGTTGCTTACACACCACCATACGGAAGAATACAATGCTGGATTTCAGTTTTTAAAGTAGAACCATCAGCAGAGGGCCATTTCTGTACCTGTGTTCAACAAATCACTTTGTGACTTCAGCTTTACTCTCTGTATCCAAATCAGCAGATAATTGCAGGGAGGTCAATCACAGCTCATATTCCTGCAAAAACAGAGTTGCAGCTGTTTGAAAGTACAAGTCCTCCTCAGGACCAGCCAGAGGAATTTTGTCCGTATTGGGAACCATAAAAGCCTAAAGTACACAGAATATTTTTCCTCTAACTGTTCCATCTGGTTGCAATAAGGCACAGATAAATAACTCTTCAACCTGTTAAGTTTATTCAGTCCTATCTGGGTGGCACGAAGCACGTACTTGATTGTGCATGAGTGGAATTCTGAACAAAAGTAGGTCCTTCAGCACCTTGTTGATCCACAGCAGTTCTGAAATAAGAACGTCAATTATTGCATGCGAGGGAAAGTATGGCAAGTGCCATACTGGGGCTAGGCTTGGTATTTTTTGTTACTTATTGCCCCCCTTGTGCTAAGCTGCAAGTACGCAGGTGTGTGTTTTGTTCAGAACAAGATCAGTAGTCTGCGTTTTTGGATTTTACACCCAGGTGTTTGCTTAATTTCAGGAATATCTTCCTTCCACCTTTATTCTGTGTTCTCTGAGAATTATTTTTAGTTGAGAATAGTTTAGATAAAATGTAAGTTTTGGTTAGCTGATTTAATGCAGGTTTATAGTATCAAATTGAGTTGGATTCCACAATATAGTACAATTGAAATGTTTTTAGTCATTCCTTCTAATGTGAAGTGCGACTCTGACAGCTAAATAAGGGTAACCACTGATAGGTCACCAATGCTGTGGAACTATGAAGAAATATGACACAGATATGATTTAAATTGTACCTTAAAGAGCTGATTGCATTCGTAGGTGAGGACATAGCTGTCACAGACTGGGAAGTTACTTCTAACCTCTGATCCGTGTCCAGATGTGTCTGTAATGACATGGGATGGAGCACAGTCTGGAATCAGAAGAGTCAGTGATGCAGAAAGGAGAAAAATACATTCTGCAGATCTTTAATTTCATTGCTAATAAAAGTCTCAGTAGGATTCTCAGTTCTTGTTTAAATTTGCACAGTTTCTTCTTGCAGTTACTGTCGAAGAACTAATTTTCCAAGAAGCTGCATCCTAATTAGGAATGACAGAGAACTCACCAGATGTGCATGTGGAGCAACGCAGTACATGAGGGATTGTTTGTATGGACAATTCAAGTCCAAACTCCCCCTGTAAGTTTTGACCATGAAGTTAAGAAGACCCAGACACTCTTAAATCTGAGAAACTGCCACTGCTACACTCAATTCAGCAAGATGAGCTGAACTATAGCGTATACTTTTATCTGATCTGGGTTTTTTTCCAATTCAATCTTGATTGGAAGACACTGGGAGGCAGAAAAGAACAGGAACACAAGATTCACAAGTAGTTCAATTTGATATTGGTTTTCTTGCCTGCCTTTGTACAGTTTCCATGTTCAGGTAAGTATGTTACCAGTGTTACCAACCAGCCCTCCAGTGACCCACTGTCACCCTGTGAGCACACTTACATAGTCTGATGAGCAGTCTGTGATGGATGTGAAGCAAAGAGAATGCCTGGGCTTCCACACCTCAGTGAGATGCCCACCTTTCCTCACCTCATTTGTCTGAAGGAACAGATTATATCTCCAGAAAGAAAGCCAGCTTCATCTTCTAGCATTAAACTTACATCATAGTTAAATAAATTTCTTGGCACAAGAACGCTGAAGCCTAGGAAGTCCTCATCTAAGGAGGATAAAAGCTAAAACACTCCAAAAGTTCCAAGCCATTCCTGATTTGGGTTTCAGGTTCGGTGTTCTTGGGCTGCAGCAATGACACAGCCACCTCCTCTGCACAAGCAGCTGGGTTG